CCTTTAGGTCTGCTATTGCTCCTCTTGCTGATTATACATATGTTCCTGATCTCTTTGCTGATTGTAGGGATGTTTGGTAGCCTCCTCATTTGGACCTGTTTCTTTGTGACCTTTAGGTTGTTGAGGATTATTGTCCATGTCTTTAACATTCTTGTTTCTAGCAGTTTCCAAGTCCCTTTTTTTTCTGCATCTTTTTGTCTTATGGTACAATCACACTCCAAATGTCCTTGATGTTTGTAGTAGAAACAATAGTCTGGGATATTATCATACTCTATTTTTTGCCATCTCCCATCAGTGATATCTTCCCCTATATAACCCATCCAAATATAAGGAGGTCGCTTTTGAGTAAGGTCAACTTGCACCTTCACCCTAGCTTGACTACCCCTAGTCTTTTTAATGAGGCAGAATCTAAATATAAAACCTTCCCAATAGGTGACAACAGGCCAGAAACAAACTCTTTATTATAACAATGCCAAGGTAATTTCGGTAATGAAATCCATATTGGGACTACAGGGGTTTCTTCAGCTAGTGTAAAATTAGGAGTCCATGCTTGAATTCTCATCACCTGTCCAGCTATACTCATTCTTTGCTTAGTCCAAACCATATTATAATCAAGTTCATTATCAAGATCAATATAGACATGTCGCGAATTAAAATGCGCAATCTTAACACCACCAGATAATTGAGTTTGTAAAATGAAATTCTTCTTAATAAGCTTCACTTTCGGCATTGTGTAACTGGATTTCCCAATAAGAGTATATTTACAAGCAGAAGCTAAATCTTTAATGACCTCCTCTTTCACATACAGGACTGCAGGGAGACCTTGTTTAGTGGTAATTTCAGGAGCAGTCAAGTAAATGGTAACAAAACTTTTGGCTTGATTATGTCTAAGACGATCTGCATAAGTCTGGACTACTGTATAAGGTGCAGGTTCAGCTACTTGATCATTTTGGAAGGATAAGGAGGTTGGGTCGTTCAAGTCTAGCATTATTGGATTTAGGCCCTTGGCGATCAAAATTGCTAGAAATTCTAGGGAAATTAGAGGGATATGCTTGCTGTTGATCAGCTTTAGAGCTCTCCTTAATCTGATTACCATGAATCTGTCTTGAGGCACTAGGATCATTGAATTTCCCCTGTTCTTTAGCAACCCAGGATTTCTGTGGATTATTCTCAAGTCTATGAAACTCCTTACCAGATGCTGGAATCACATTATCATGAGAATTATCAATAGGAATCATACCTGCGTCGTTGCCCTGTTTCTTGGTGGTATGATCATCCAAATGAGGAATGATAGATTGTCCCAATTCGTGAATCTGTTATTTTCCTTCTCTTTTGGTGAAATTGAGGCTGAGTTAGATCATAAATTTCCTCATCTTGTTGTAAATGGTCGAAATTCTTCGCAGAAGTTCCGGCAGAGTCACCTGAAGTTTCGTGTCCAGCGATTTCACCATGGAATGTGCTTGATACTTCAGTTGTATCTCCTCCACGACCAGGGGAACAAACCCCAGTATCTATTTCACCACGAATAACATCAACAGTCCTTGGATTTTGATGGCGCAGTTGAGGCGATTCACTTACGTTCTTCGCCGTCGTCACCGGTGGATTTCTCGCAGATGGGACGGTGAAATCTTGAGATTTTTCACTAGCATGTAAATCTTGGGATAGGGATTCTTTGTCAACAGTCCTTTTACCTTGACTTTGATTAGAATCTTCCATGTGAACATCTGTTCGAGTCCCATCCAACTTCCTTTCTGCCATGGCAGTATGGATCGCCTCTTCTCTCAACTGCGAGGATGATTTTGAAGACGATTCCAGTAACGGTGGATGTATATTTGGATTGGGCATCGTTGTAGATGGATCTGGTGGCCGGGAAAGATCTGCTGATGGCCCTTCTTCCATACTAAAGATGCTGAAACGATGGGAATTTAGCCGAGAGAGCTAATTTCTTGAGATTCCAGAAATAGTA